TCCACGAGCATCAGGAGTGAAAGGAAAAGACTCTGGAAAAAGTATAAACTACTAAATAAGAAGACTAATTTTGCTGTTGCTGTTGTTAGGGGACACTGAGCTGACTGTCATAATGATTTGTCTTAAAAAGCACAAATACTTAATGATTTCATTTGATGTAAAGAATTGCATTCTACTCTTTTCCTTCTACGGAGTTGGTGGTCTATTAGATGGTTTTTTTGATGTGTGTATAGAGTGGATCTTCCTCAAACTTTTCTGGACCCAGTGAAGGAACATATTTCGTACTCAGCTGAGATTCTTATCAGTACACTTAAAGGCAGCAGGGTGCGTAATTAGGTCTGCCTGCCATCTGCAGGGCCCTCCAGGTGCAAGAGGCATTTGCTTTATTTAATATTACCACAACATTCATTTTACACCATTAATTTATGTCACTTGTGCTTTACTTTAAACTCAGATTGCCAAAATGAAAGCATTGAACACGAGGACCCAATTCTAGTTTAGAGACACCCTTATATGAGAAACATCATCTTAAGAATCTTTATTAGCTGAATTAAAGTTCTTAGACCCATAAAAGTATACACTTTTACTGTCATTTATGTTAAAAGGGACAACATGGAATATTACATTTTAAAGTGGAAGGAAGATGTTGCAAATGAAACACAGAAATATCACTTTAGAACGTATCATACGCTCTCACTAGTTTTCACTCTTTCATTTAGAAATTCTCTTGATGTCGGTATTTTTCCCCCTCTTACAGAGGTTAAGAGGCCAACCCTGTCTTACACATGGTTCCCTGAAGAGACGGGCAAAGGTAAACACAAAGTCTCAAAAGACAAAGTTGAGGATCATCTTTGCACAAATCAGATGCGTTCCAGAACACCTGACGTTGACATAAAACAACACACCAGGGCTGCTGAACACTGGTGGTGACAGCTCTGGCATTCCACACCTAGACACACACACAGGGAAGTATTGACTCTTGTCTCCCTGCAGGCATCCTTTCAACTCCTCCATGCCCTCTGCCTGAGATCTGAGGAGGCCACTCTACCACTGCTGACATTCTCAGACAATAAGCTGGCTCACCAGATCGAAGGCAGTTCAGTAAGGGTACAACTCAGGGCAGGGAAGTACTCTTTTTTTACTTCACATCCATCAAAATCTGCTTTATTGAGCTTCTTAAGTAAAATTCCTCTCCCTCTTTTCCTTATCTTTCATTAACTCTAATTGTTGTTGTTATTCTAACTCCATCACTGCTCTGATCTACGGATTCAACATCTCCCAGCTATTCTTGTGGCAACACATTAATCTCTGCTGAGCTGAACATTTTAACATTATTGTTAGTTTTCTGAGGAGTGGAAGAATACCAGAAACGTAAGGTATTCGGCAGTTTGATTTAACCAACCAAGCAATCTAATTGGACATATTGCTGTTAGTGGATGTTGAGTTGACACCTCATGGTGACCCTACGGAGCACGGGTCTGAACCTGACCGACCCTGCAGCATCTTCACAATCTCTCATGCTCAAGTCCAAGTCCACTGGTGGAGTAACTGACAATCCATAGTGCTGAGGGCCTTCCTCTGAATTCCCCCTTTCCCCAGCATATTGTATTGTTTTCAAGTACTAGTCCCTCCTAGCCACATGGCCACTATCTGTGAGACCAAGTTTTCCCCATCCTGGCCTCGAAGGAGTCCCCTGGTTATACTTCTTCGACATAACGCCAATAGTGTGATGTCCAAGCCTTTATTTCAACCTTGCTCAAGCACTTTCTCCCTGCATCACAATCTACAGCCATATGCCTTTGTCATTGTCCTACAATGTCTGTGATTCTTCATACCCTTCTTTTAAACGTTACTTTCTTTTCTTCCTCTTTCTGTTTCTTCATGTACTTTTGTCACTAATAGGAATGTGTTGCTGTTGTACCATTGAGTCAGAACCGACCCAGAGCTGGCACTCAAGCGGGTTTTCAGAGGCTGGTAATTGCCTGGGAGGAGACTGCCCATCCTTTTCCCATGGAGCAGATGGTGGATTCAAACTGTGTGTGTTTTGGATTGCAGTGCAACTTCTTACCACTTTGTTTTGCTTTGTAGCAAGTTCACAGTTTCTTCCTTGTAGTTAGTATGATGTTAGTATGCAGTTAGTATGAAGGTAGCAGCTAGCCCACTTAAAACACACACACACACACACACACACACACACACACACACACACTCGCACAAAGCAAAACTAAAGCAATGCCTTCAAATCAACCCTAACCTTTAATTCAGTCATTCCTATCAATTGAATGGCACCTAACTACAACATGTTCAACAAACACTGCAATAGTGTCTCCAACTAGCCTGGTATGATAATAATTCGGGACATACACTCAGTCTATCTACTGTGCTGCCTCATTGGGGCAGTCTCCCGTCCTCACTCAAGCACAGATTTGGTTAGTTGACTTGCTCCCATTGTTGTCATGCTGTCAAGTTGGTACCAACTCAGAGGTGACCCTCCAGCAGGTTTTCAGAAGCAGTCAGTCACCCAGGAGGAGACTGTCCATCCTTCTCCTGCAGAGCAGCTGGTGGATTCTGAACCATGAACCTTTGTGATTGCACAGCAGGTCCTTACCACTCGGCCACCAGAGTGCCCTCATAGCATTGCTATAAAAATTTCCTCTCTTAAAAAAGACGCCAGCTCAGCTTCCAGCCGACTTGTGAAAGGATCCTGGCAGCCTCACTTGCAATGGAGATGGCCAGCAGCTGACAGTGAAGTCACTGATGTGTCACTGGGACATTGAAGCGAATCAGAATCTACCATTAAGCACCCAATTTTAGGAGGACTAGCTGGAAAGTATCTCTGTGAACTTTCGCAAGATGCAGTGTTGGATCCTTCACTTTGTATAACTAAAACCCATAGAATTCTTATATTACAGAACTAGATAGAAAACTGATTCCTCAATTATTTTGCATAGTGCTCAGATCAAACTTTCATGCTTATTACTATACATAACTTTCATTTGTCATGTGAGCATACTTTACCTCTTGACAACCTCAAAACAACATGTACTATTTCTGCATTACTAGAAGCTTAGAAAAAAACACAAGCAGGTAGGACACGTCTCTTTCCACAATGTTGTTTATTTTTCTCTGCTCCAGAAAAAGATCTAGAAATCGTTAGTGTTGGGAAAAATATCTGGACATACAAAACATTGACGTTTTCATAATGTTGTCCAAAGTTCCTGTAATACAACTGTGCAGACCATATGCTCAGTTAGATACAATAAAAAAAAAATACAATACAATACATACAATACAGCTTTTTCCCATAAAAAACCAAACAAACAAAAAAAAACCCAAACCACCACACACACAAAAAGATATGCCTGCTTCTTTATTTGTGCAATCCTGAAACTTCTTATTTATTCCCTTCGGTTCTGCATTTACACAAAAATGCTGTAATAAAATATCTGTACACTACTTCTGTTACAAATATAGATAATATTTAAAGTGACTTTATATATTCTGATGTAGGAGTTTCACGCTCTAAAATGGGAAAGAACACATGATAATTCCTTCCCAGTTGTCTCAATCAACAGCTCCATCTGTTTCTCTTCGTCTTAAACTATTGTATTATAAGATGTTAATATAAGGCAATAAAATGCAGCTATGTTAATCCTCTTAATTTTTCTATCAATTTTCTAATGGCAGACAACCAAAAGAATTACTAACGCATTGCTTCCCCCCTCCCCTGTCATTAAGATTAATACTAATTGAAAAGCAATTGCACAGCACACCAACATATTTTTAGTGTTGCATCAGTTTTTAAAACCAGTGTTACAAGAGCCTGGATCCTTCCATGTTTCTCTGTGGTTACTAAAGCTTCTGCCTAGAGAACCTGCAGGGCACCCAGTGTAGACTGGCAGGGCACCCAGTGTAGACTGGCAGGGCACCCAGTGTAGACTGGCGGCTCTTTAGACGCTTCCTCTTCTGCTTTATTTACAGCGGGATGTAAAATGTTTTAGGACAGGCCAGAAATGAAAATAACATTCAGGTGAGCATGAAATATGTTTTCCTTACAAATCTTGGAAACATGGAGATCCAGACATGTGTTATTTAATAGTAATCTTAGAAAAGGATTCTGTGTTCCTAGCTGCTACTGATGGGGCCCTGACTCAGGGAGACTTTCACAGAAAAAATATCCATAATGAATCTGCATCTTAGAAGTGGGAGGATGTACTCCCTTATAATACACTTTCCAAAAAATCTTCCAATAGGAAAAGAAAAGAAAAAAAAAATA